CTGGCTGTCAGTGTCTGCCAACTGTTGCTCCATCATCGTGTTGGTATCCAGGCCAAACCTCTGCAAACCATGTCTCGATCTCACAGGCCGCGGTCCTCCATCAGACCGGTAACGTGCAGCTGATACTGTTCTGCACGGTGGGCCAGCGAGTACTGCAACCACTCGACCCGACCTCACAAACTGCAATAAAAAGTGCCAAACTGCTGAATCCAAAAGATCTTGTCCTCGAAGTAGATCCACATTCACCACTTCGATGTCGTGTGGCATTCTCTTTGACCACCACGCTTGATCTGGACCTGAAAACAAATTCAGCACAATGCCCTTGGCCTTCTTGAAACGTCGCCGTTGATGGCGATTCCATGGCAATCGAGCCTCATCACCAGCTTTACTCACCATAGGTTGCAACAACTCCACAGGTGTCTCAGGAAACAACTTCTTGAGCTTGTCGGCCATGTCCCTGTCTTCCTGTTTCCAACCTGTGACTTCCAAACTTCGCAACATCAACTGCTTGTTCTTCTCAGCAGTTTCCAGCTCTCGAATGAGCTTCATCCCCACATCATTGGTCACGTAGGGACAATTGTCACGAACTGTGACTTTCACTTCACCCAGCTTGCCATGTGTGAGAGCGCACCCATCGCGATGCCACCTCATCTTGCATCCATGCTGAGTCAACATTCCCAAAGGCACAATTGGCTGCAGATCATCCTTTGTCAACAACGATCTGCTCATCTTCGACATTCTCAACTGTGTTTTTCCAGTTGCCGTTTGTACCTCTGTTGGGATCGCCTGCATCCACTCAGTCTCATCATAGGGTCCTCTAAGGATATGCGTGGCCCCTGAGTCCAATAGCACACCCTGATTGCTGTCAGTCACCACCGCCAACACCCTTGGAGTCGTTGACGTTGTTCGCATTGTTTTCAAAAGACTGGCAATTTCACCCATGACTGAGGGCTGAACTTGTTGTTGTACTTGAGCAACTTGAGGCTGCTGTTGTACCTGAGCAACTTGAGGTTGCTGTTGTATCTGAGCAACTTGAGGTTGCTGTTGTATCTGGGCAACTTGAGGTTGCTGTTGTATCTGGGCAACTTGAGGTTGTTGTTGTATCTGGGCAACTTGAGGCTGTGAATCCTTTGAAGACTGATCCACTCCCCCGACCGGCTTGTCCCGGTCCTTGCCTTTGCCCTTGTCGTTCTTTCCATCCTTTGTCTTTCCCTTGCCTTTAGGGCTTCCTTTGGAGCTTTTGTCGCCCGGACTTGTCGTAAGCTTGTCACCAGCCGTGCAGTCTTTGGCAATGTGTTCCAAACTGGAACACTTCCAGCATCTCTTCTCCTTATCGTTGAGATTGTTCCACTCATGGGCATAGGTGCATTTGTCACCCTTGAGGCATCCATGAGGTTTACCCCAATGCTTGCATGCTCCAGCTCCTGCACCATAACCACTGCCTTCTGCATTGTTGCCATTGCCTTTCTTACCAGGAGATCCCTTCTTGCCACCACCCTTGTCACCAGCAGCATTGACCACATTGATCTTGGGGTTGCCGGAAGTCGGACTTGCCTTCGTCATTGTTCCATGATGCAAGTGATCCGCTTCAGCGATCAACATCTGCAGATAGTTCTCCGCTGTGAGCTGTGTAGGCGCCACATCCACCATATGGGTCATGCGGAAGTTGCTGATGCGAAAGCTCGCTTGATGCTCCTTCGCAATCACTGTCCGCATCACTTCAGAAAGTGCGCTCACCTGCAGCAAGGGATCTGGAACCTGTAGTCCAAGTTCACGAGCTCGCAGGAGTTGACGTCGCCATTGGCGTAGCATCTCACCAGCTTCAGCTGCAGATTTGGCTGCTGTTGTTTGAGTCAAGTTGTTGAGGATGGTGCTTTTCTCGTTGAGACCACCAGGTTGATACAGCTTCAAGATGCGAAACACCAGCTGCACGCATGTCATCTCTCGCAAAGAGATTGCTTCTTGTTTGACCGTCTGTGGCACTGCAGCTAACAACATTGACAGCACGCGAGACTCCAACCTGACATACTTGTTCTCCACTTGAAGGTCAGGTTGCACAGCCATACGATCCATTGGACCCGCTGTCAGCCATGTTGCATAGGCATCTTGAGCTCGTTGTACCAGTCCAGTCCACCACACTCTTGCACCTTCTGAGACATCTGAGATCAGCGGCATCAACTCACTTAACCAATCTCCTGCACGAAGGGCAGCCTGAGGCTCTGACACGTCCTTCAAAATTGGCAGTGTAATTGGCACATTTCTCAGCACCTCAGAAGCTTCGCCATCAGGACCTTTTGCTTGTGGTTGAGGTTGTTGCCATTGCAGTGGCATTGAACCATATTGCATTGGTGCTGCATACATTGGTACACCAGAAGGTCCAACTCCATGTCCTTGAGGCGGTTGTGGTGGTGGTTGCGGAACATAACCAAAGTCCGCTGGTGGACCACCATGTCTGTGCACCGGTTGCTCCCAGTACTCACCTGTCAACCTTGGTCTTTCGCCATGCATCATCCTGACCTCTCTGTCCAACCATGCAAAGCGATCTGCTCCAGGTTGAAGATGATGCTGCTGTTGTGGTTGTTGATCCACTGGAGTCCAAAAATCCTCCAAACCATCAAAACCTGTTCCACCACCCACGTGCTCATCAACTGCAAATGGGTCAAACTGCCATGGTGGAAGTTCTGGAAGATCTGCTACCTCCCGTGGTGGTTGTCCCGGCGGAACTTGAGTTCCTCCAGGTGTTGTTCTTGGTGACAGCGAGTAGTACTGAGGTCGGCGCGGTGGTGTCCTTGGTGGTTCCACGCTTGAACTCTTCTTCTTGAGCTCCTTCTGCAACTCCTCATTCTTCTTTTCAAACTCATCACGCTGGCGTTGCAAGTCCTCAGCATACTTCTTCATCTCTTCCTTTTGTTTCTCCATCTCAAGCTTCTGTCTGTGAAGCTCTTCAACCATTGATTGCTCCAAAGCCCGCTTGAGCTCATCACGCTCATCTCTTCCTTGTTGATTGACATCATCCACAAAGGTAGTTGTGCTACAACCTTGTACTCCACCTTGTGGTTGCCGACTTGCCTCACGTGGCATCTGTCGTCTCATCTCATACTGTTGCACTCCCATTGGAACTCTTTCCAAGGGTGATCCATCATCTTGCCGATGACCTCGTCTTTGAGATTGATCTCGCAGACCACTTGGTACTGTTCGATGACCTTGAACTTGACGTCGTTCAGGTCCATAACCATGACTGACTCCTCGGTGGCGTCCAGTCTCTTGCACATTTCCTTCAGACCTTGAGGGTCCATGACGGCTGACTCCTCGATGGTGTCCCGCCCCTTGCACATTAACTTCAGACCTTGAGGGTCCACGGCTGACTCCTCGATGGTGTCCAGCCTCTTGCATGATGTCAGACCTTTGAACTGGTATCTCACCTCCCAGTCCTCCAGTCTTCCCACCTTGTCTTGCAACCCCATGAGATGGTATCTCACCTCCCATCCCATTGGGCTGCACAACTCTTCCTTGACCATGCCCCTTGCCAGAACGTTGCACTTCTCCAGCAAGTAGCCCTGTCGCGACACCTCGATGGTGCCCAACTTGTTCAACACCTTGAGGGTGTTCATCTTGATCGACACCTTGAGGGTGCCCATCACGTCCAACACCTTGAGGGTGTCCACATTGTTTGACACCTTGAGGGTGTCCAGCTTGTTGACCTTGTCCAGCATCTTGAGGATACTGTCGGCCCACACCTTGAGGGTGCACTTCACGGTGACCTTGTCCAGCATCTTGAGGATACTGAAGGTCTTGACCTTGTCCAGCATCTTGAGGATACTGTCGGTCCACACCTTGAGGGTGTACTTCACGGTGACCTTGTCCAGCATCTTGAGGATACCGAAGGTCTTGACCTTGTCCAGCATCTTGAGGATACTGTCGGTCCACACCTTGAGGGTGTACTGCATGTCGACCTTGTCCAACATCTTGAGGATGCCGAAGGTCTTCATCATCATTTGATGGCATAGCCCCTTGAGTCTGCAAGGCCACACCTCGTCTTGTACTCCAACTCGACGGAGCACTCATTCGTCCCATTGCCAGCGGCTCCAACTCTCGCGACGCATCTGCATCTTCTATCTCCGGAAGGTCCTCCTTGACTGAGACCTCTTCCCTTGGCGTCCACATCGGCTGCTCCATGGCCAACTGACGTGCTTCTTGTAGGTGTTCTCGTTGAACCACCTCTGACCACCACGGATTCGGCTCGGTGCCTAAGTCCAACAGGTCAGTGCTCACGTCCAGTTCTTGCCGTAGAGCCCCTCCATGTTCGCCTCGTAGTAGAGCTCGTCCTCCACCTTGACCATCACTGCCATTGGGTAGAGCTCTTTCATCTCCACGCCGAAGGTCTCTGCCGTCATGTCCAGCTCGGTCTCTTCCATGCCCTTCTTGGCCTTCTTGATCCAGCCGTAGAGCACGAGGTCCACTTCCACCACGTGGCACCGAACACGACCTAGTCCACGACATGGCAGGCGCCCCTCAGCTGAGCGTTGGGCTCATAACCTGTGTTAGGCAGAGCAGCGCGACTTTTGAACCATAAAGAGCCTGCCCATACACAGGCAGGTTGTCAGGTTGTTGCACTGATAAGAACAGATACTTCACCTGTCCAGCAGTGATAAGAACTGATACTACATCTGTCCAGTTGCACATGCATGCACATGAACCCTTTTGCAAGATGTATAGCTACCGTAAATCTTGGTTATTGGATTGGATTTGATTGGAGTTGTTATAAACCAACTTACCCTCTGGTAAACGTTTACATAACTATGGAAAGATCCACCATTTTCAATGGGTAAATCCACTATAAATGGCCATTTTCAATAGCTATGTTAATTTACCAGAGGGTAGCTTGGCACCCTGTAACTCCATATCCCAAAGAACTTGGGATGGCCTCAAACCTGCTGCAATGGCATGGCTCCGTCGGGCTCAGGTTCGTGGGCCTCTACAGCACTGATGCAAAGGTGCCCATGATTCAAAAGGCACCACCGTTCAACTCCGTTCCATTGCCATGCGCAGAAATTCAGGTGTGAAAGGAGATCAGAGTTAAACAAAAAGAATTCATGATGTTTCATGTCCAAGAAGATGATAAATACAAGAATTGCCAAACCCCGATGTTATTATCATCAAATTGATGAGTACGTTTTGATCTCACCTTAGGTTTTAACCGCAAAATCTGGCGATTTTCGTCAAACCAATCCACTCCGTTGCGTTGCCGTCCGCGCAGATCGTCACGTTGATCACGAGCTGTGCCTCAGCCACGGGATGCGCTTCTCTGCTGCTGGCACGCCTAGGTGCGCTCAGCAATGGTTGGCCGAAAGGGGAAAGGGATATAGCATGATAACTAGGCTGTAGCACCAATAGCACCAGTTTCATGGGGAAAATTGATTAAAATTGTGATTAACCATGGAATATCTATATAGCTATAGTGCTATGGTGGTATTTTATGAGTTGACGCACTGGAAACTATGGCCCATTTAGTTTACCTACCTATTAACCATGGTGATTTTCCAGAGCTACGTTCAATAACCCCAGGGTAGAATTTGGGGAATCATCTTCAAGTGGCCGAAGAATTCAGGTTAGTGCAAATTATGAGAATTATAACCCATAGGATCCATGTATGGTATATATGCTAACATTTGGGGTATATTGATGGCAAATGTTACCATATATAGTATACATGGATCCTATGGGTAATAATTTGTCCAGCTGATCCAGCTACTGCAATAAACTTTAATATTTAGCTAACAATGAAATTATGGAAAACCCACCGCTTGTAAATCATTGTTTTGGGGAACTTGGAGGTTTTCCATATTATCAATCTACTGGAAGGTAAGGTTGGCCACTGAACGTTTTATTTTGGAAGACAATTTGCAAAGTGGACATTTATTTTGGCGTGAAGATTCATGTGAGTAACCAGTCGTCACAGTCACGGCATTTTATCCACAGGTTTGATCAGGTTTGCACCAAAATTTGGCCCTGGGATAGTCGGATCGTCATGTGTATCCACCATGGGTTTTGCCTCCTTTTACCGGCAAAAATCACTGCAATTTAAGGAATTTGTGATCCAGTCTGCGCCAAGGCTTTTCTGCGATTTCCTCTGCCATTTTGGGCGGGGCTGCAGCATGGCCATTTGGTTTGTTGGTGAAAGCCTTGCGAGGGACCCCAGGAGGACTGACCATTGTGCCATCGTGTTTTTGCATGTTTTTTCTATACGTGTGGTGAGGGAACAGAAATGGACATCACCACTGCCAGGTATGAATGGCGACCCTGGTCCCCTGCCCACATTGACATGAACGAGGCTTCGAAGCACCTGGTGAGAAAACATTGGTGAGTTGCAGTAATTAGATTTTGTTCGGGGCAGGGGTGGAGAAGGTGTGATTTTGGGGGATCTATATTGAAAAAACCATTAATATCTTCACATTAGGAGTGATCGCCAGTTGCGACATCACCACTCCTGTGCCGTGATGACTCGGGTTGAGATGTCCTCATTTCGTGTGGAGGACCTGATGATGAACCTGGAGACGTTTTTGTCAAGAGCCACTTGAAGTTTCATGATTTTATCTTAGTTTTCTCCCTCAATTAGTGTGGCTTACTGGTGCTTATATAGTAGGGAATGGGGGAATGATCCACAATCACTATCAGTCATCCCATTTCCCCATTCCTAAGGGGCGGACTTCCAAATCCAACAAATCGAACGTCAGGCATTGGACGCCAGCGAGCAGGCAAATATTTGGTTCGGCTACTGTTCGGCTGATACGGGGATGACCCCTGCACAATGCTGTTGATGGCGTCTTGCCGTTTGGTTCTCCTTCTAAATGCAGGGAGGTGGAAAAGACACCCAAACAAGGAGTTTCCTAGTTGAGGTTCATCAGCCACTTTCGGCCATGAAGATTGGGATATAGTAAGTTCTCTGAATCAACTTGCTGATTTTGTTTGTTTCAATATTGATAAAATATTGACATGGCTGTGATCATCATGATGATCCAATGTGCTGGTTTGTTCTTTTACAACCTCCAGGTGCTGAAAAAAACCGCATCAGATACCCTCATGGTAATTTGTTACATAGCTACTGAAAATGACCATAGAAATAGTGGAATTACATGAATTTACCCATTGAAAATGGTGGATCTTTCCAGTTCGTTTTGTAAACGTTTACCAGGCCGGGTATCATCAGATTCCGGACTGGGCTGTGTGGAAACCTTGACAACTTGAGCTCCCCGCAGGTGAGAATCAAAGAGCTCCTGTCGGATGAAAAGGAGCGATTTTTCTGGGCGGATGGGGCCGGGCTACTTACACTAAATGACCGTTGGATGAGCCGCTCTTTCTGGATGAATTACTGTATGATGTTTTTTTTTTGCCACTATATATCAGTATATATCATCCCCAAATTGCCCAAATTTCAAATGGCCGACGATTTCAGTTGGTGAAACATCCGGATACTTCCGGATATTTTTACCATCTCCTGAATTTAATCAATTTAGACTGCATTTGAATACTCGTTTTGACAACTCCTGAGGTTTCTAGTTGGCTTGTAATTTTGTGTATATATCAATTATATATCTATTTCTTGACCTTGCCACTGAATCAAGGCTGTGGGTAGGACAGCAATTCCAACGTTTGTGCCATTGTACATGATCAACATTGACATTTCTCTAAGACCCTAAGATAGAACATATAGAAGCGTGAGGCCAACCTCCCATCAAAAGCAGATTGAATTCCAACACTGAAGGTGGTATAGATGTCATATAGATGTCATATAGATGTCATATATAGATGTTATATATAGATGTCATATATAGATGTTATATATACATGTCATATATAGATGTTATATATAGATGTCATATATAGATGTCATATATAGATGTCATATATAGATGTCATATAGATGTCATATATATATATATATTAAACCTAGTCTTTGCAACGCGTTTAGTGTTGTGTGACGGTGATTTCTATCCACTGTTGCTCGTAGCCATCAGTGCTCAAGGCAGCACGGCTTTGCCCCGAGGGGCAGACTCCTGCGGGAGAGGCTGAACTCCTGCGGGAGAGGTAGGACTCCTGCGGGAGAGATCTGCCGGTGGCCTGCGGGCTGGACGTAGACCCCTGTGGGGGAGGCGGGGCTGTGGCCCAGGCGGCAGCATGCCGGGCCCCTGGATAGGGGCCATGGACAACAGTGGGTTCATGGCCTCTCGGGACTGGGAGGTTGGAGACCTCTTTGAGTGTCGCATGTACGACAGCAGTCGCGAGGAACAGAAAATGGCCATCTGGAGGGCCACAGCCATTGGCGAACGTTCACATGGAAGGTGGATGAGAGGAGTCCTGGAGGTTGTGGAGGACGAACACCTCAATCCACATCTGCAATGGGGCTGTGCGTTCATGCAGGGCGCATGATGGAAAGGATCCGTTGGCCTTCCACACAGACTACCTGAGAATGTTGGAAGTCCGTGACATCGAGCTGAGACGGGCGGCATGGTGGCAAGTTGGTGTTGCCAAGACTGACTTTGAAGCTTTTCGCAAGAGGTTGCTAGGTGAGGCCCGTGGCAAGGCAATCCTGGAGAAGCAGGCCGAGGAGGATGTCTTTGACTTGGAGGCCTCCCCTGGTGCTGGGGGTGAGGGTCCTGGTTCCACTCCACCTGCGGGTGGGGCTGGTGGTGCGCTTGGCCGACAGCTGGCTGCGCTGAAAAAGGATGTGGACAAGGAGCCTCAGAAGAAGAAGCACAAAAGGCGAGAGGAGAAAGGCAAGGACAAAGACAAGGCAAGAGGTGCAGATGCTCCGGAACGGGAGAAACGCAAAAGGCCGAGGTCGAACTCACCAGCTGGTGGCGCTTCGGGATCATTGGTGAAAAAGGGGCCGCTGTGGTTTGGCAAGGCGAGGGCCCCGAAAGAAAGGGCCAGTTCAGATGCAGGATCAGACCGCTCCAGGGGACGTGGACGTCGGAGGCACTCGCGCTCACCGTCCTCGAGAAGTCGCAGCCGGCGGCGGAGAAGGAGATCGAGGAAGGAAAGAGACAGGGGTCCCTATGGCATTGGGCGTGAGATGGCATTTGACAGGGGCGAGTCAGGCCCATCTGCTAGCGAATCGGCAGAAGAGGGTTTTCAACGGGGGGTCTCGGACAGGAGAAGCCACCAGCTGAAGCTAGTGGAATACTCCCAGAAGAGGCCAGGTCGTCTGGCCAGCAGGCTCTTAGTAAAGATGCAAGAGCTTCTGGCCCGCGACACCGGGACCCCCATCAACCTCCTTGCCTCAGAGAACATGACACCAGCAACCGCAACCGGGTACTTGCTGACGGTGCTCATACCCACGCACAAAGACAAGTTGGGAGTGCGCTTGTTGCGCGAGATGAGAACCGTGGCCATGGCGCTCGACTACGTGGCGACCGGCCGTCAGGAAGCGGCAGCAGATCTGCTAGCTCAAAGAATGAAGGCCCTCGAACTTCAACTGGTGGACGGCGGGTGGCAAAGAGCGCAATATTTGGAGCTCATCCAACCCGAAGGCGCAAGCCTCGCCGAGCAAGAAGAGCAGAGGATGGCAGCCAGGGAGCAGGCAACAGAAGCGAAACTGAGGCTTCAAGTGCAGCCCAAGGCTCCCTGGAACCCCGAACCGAAGGGAAAAGGAGACGTGAAAGGCAAGGGTCGAGGAAAGAAAGGAGGAAAAAGAGGCGAGTGGACAACCGCCGCGGCGGAGATCAAGGAGAAGGCGCCTCCAACATAGCTGAGCCCCTGGACACCCTTGGCAGCGATGTCGAGGTTGAGATTGGCTCTGACTCAGGCCAAGATGTGGTTGGAAGCTCACTGCGAGCGCGTCTGCCTCGTCAGATAGGGTGTCCGCTGAGCATGACAGAGTGGCAAAAGGAGTGCTGTGACTTTTTCAAGTGACTTTTTCAAGGAAAGGAAGTCCTATGCAGACTTGGGACACCACTTGTTGGATTTTGTGAAGAAGCTGGACTCACCGTTGGGGCACTTCGTTAGGTCGTTTTGTGATCCAGCACAGCCGACTCCGGCCGCCGAGGCCACCTTTGATCGAAAGGGGGATTTGTTGCCCATCCATCCGTCGGTGGTGCGCCCTGGTCAACACGGGGTGACACAACAAAACCTGGAGTGGGTCCAGCTCTCCTTGTCCCTGATCAACTTCAACTATTGCACTGGGTGGTCAAAGCCGATCTGTGTACCTATGGACACCAGGCTTTCGGCCAACCAGTGCGCTGCGCTACAAGAGGTCGCCAGAACAGTTGATGACAACATCCTGGACGCCGACATTTTGCCTACCCTGTCTGAAGCAAAAGCAGCTCTTCAGAGCAAGAGGTATGACTACAGCGGGAACGCCGTGGAGTACATGCAAGAGCTGGAGGCGGATAAGGTGTTCCCCACCTGGCCACGACAGGGTGAAGCTGGCATCAGGTGCATCACAGAATTTCTGACTGGGGAAGTTCAAGAGGCCATGCAAGACCCGAAACAGTGGATCCTGCCCGAGGACAAGCAGCCGGTGGCGTCAAAGCGCTCCCTGGTGCGCGCCAGTGATCGGGAGTGGCTGAAAATCTGCACTGAAGGCTACCGACGGGGAATGATGTGCATGGTCGACGACAAGGACGTCCCGCGGGACAGGTCAGGCCACCTTGTGGTTAATGGCGCCGGGGGTGTCAAGAAAACTAAGATGGTGAACGGGCAGGAGAAGGTCCTTCAGAGGTTTATCTCGGTCCTCATCCCCACCAACGAGCACATGCTTGAGCTCCCAGGGGCACAAGACACTCTGCCCTATGTGGGGATGTTGACAGCACTCCATCTGGGGCCTGATGAAGAGCTTTACATGGAATCGGAAGATTTCTCCAGTGCCTTCAACTTGTTCAGTGTGCCTGACGCTTGGTGCCCATTCTTTGCCTACTCGAAGAAGGTGGATGGGGCAGCTTTTGGAAAGCCCGAGTTAGGGAAAGTCAGGCCAGCACTCCGAGTGATTCCGATGGGTTGGAAATCCGCCGTGACTTTGGTTCAAGCAGCAGTGCGGCACATTGTGTTTGATCTCACGGGAGTGCCAAGAGCAACCTCTATTGAGAAGGGTCATCCAATCCCTGAGGGAAAGCACTACACGGTGGTGTACCTGGACAATTTTGATGAGATTCGGGTTTATCAGAAGCTGACAGCTGAGCTGGAGTCAAGCACGGCGAGCCCGACCGATACTCACCAGAAGTTCAACGAGGTGTGTGATGGCCTTGGATTACCGCGTAATGGCTCAAAGCAGCTCATTGGGGCTCTGGCCGGTGGAATTCAAGGCGGTGAATTTGACGGAGTTCGAGGCACCATCAAAGTGGGGCGTGACAAGCTGAAGAACTTCCTGGCGATTAGCATGGCCCTCCTGAGTGCCCCCACGGTGACAGAATTCCAAATCAGGCACTGGATTGGAAAGGCGGCGTTCATCGCCACGTTCAGGAGACCTTTGTTCTCAATCCTGCAGGAGGTCTTTGAGCTGCTGGAGAGGTGTCGTGGGAAGGCACAGGTTCTGCCGCCATCGGTCGTTGACGAGATCTTCTGTTTCACTGGCCTGGCGGTGCATGCTCAAAGTGAACTACGGGCACAAGTCTCGCCGGAGATCTCCTGTACGGATGCCTCACCCACGGGGGGTGGCAGTGCTGTGGCGGTGAAGTTCAAGACAAAGAGCCTTGTCGTGCCTGAGGAGGTTGAGGAACGAGCGCAATGTGGGTGCTGCGGCACAGGGTTCACTGGAATGGAGGATGAGAGGCGGCTGTACCCTTGCCCCAGGAAGTGTGGCGAGAGATTTTGCTCTGCCCTCTGCGTGGCGGACCATTCAGACGGTGCGTGCACCAGGCATGACTTCTATGCCCCGAAATTTGGGGAGAGGTTTAGCGGGCCCAGGTATCCATTGTCAAAGGCCTGCGGGCTGGCGGGGATTGCGATCCAGAGACCAATGGACAAATTAGTACCTGGTGACCCGTGGGACATCCTCACAAGTGAGGGAAAGGAACGCTTGGCTGCGGCCGAAAGCGACCCCAGTCTCAAGGCGGAGCACTGGGCACCTGAGTGCCGCACTTTCTCTCGGGCAAGGGGAAGATGGATACAACTTCCTGACGGGAACTGGATCCAGGGACCACGGCAGGTCCGAAGCCCTGAAGAGCCATGGGGATTTCAAGAGCTCACCAGGGGCGACTCGGTGGCTGTACGCCAAGGCAACCTGTTCATGAGGAAAGCGCTGAGGGCGTTGGTGAGGCGGCATCTCGCAGGGGGGCTGGCTTCGCTGGAGCATCCCTACAACAGCTATGTTTGGGACACTGAAGAAGTTGACGAGATGCTGCAGTCTGGAGGGTGGTTTGTGACTTGTTACAGTCACTGCTGTTTTGGTGGCGATCGCATCAAGTGGACACAGCTCTTCCACAACTCACCCTTCCTTCATCGTGCGCTGCACAAGCCTGATTGCCCTGGGCACTCTGACCTGCGGGGTTACCGGGTGACCTGGGGGAGCGATGGTCAGTTGAGCTTTGACACGGCGCTGGAGTCCGAGTACCCCTGGGGCTTCTGTACCGCTTATGCAGGTGCAATGGCTGCTCATCTCCGGTCGATCACGCCGGAACCGGTGGGTGATTACCCGAGGACGCTTGAATCTCTCCTCTATACCCAGGTTCGTGGTGCGACCAGAGGGCTGCAGGATGAACAATATGTCATCAGGGTCGTCGCCGCGGTGTGCCACACTCTCAACAAGATGACAGAGGGTGCGGAGGCTGACCATCTCCGGTGGCTGCTCAGGCAAGTGGGTCTTCGAGGAACCGATGTGCGCATCAGCATCCCGGACCAGCAGATCACAAGAGAGGAGGTCTACCCGTACCCGGCCTTTCGGTGGCTTTGGAAGACGGTGTTGAGCTACAAGTGGGCCGCAGAGCAGCATATCAACGTGCTGGAGGTCACCGCAGTGCTGACCGAGTTTCGGCGTCGGCTGAGGAGCGTCGACAATATGAACACCAGGTTCCTGAATGTGGTGGATAGCCTGGTGACCTACTTTGCATTGACCAAGGGCAGGTCGGGAAGCAAAAGGATGAACAGAACCTTGCGGCGTGTGATGGCATTGAACCTGGCAAGCAAATCGGTGTTGGTCTCCTTGTGGACGCTGAGCAAATGGAACTACGCCGATGTGGCGTCTCGTCGGTTTGAGAAGTGATGCCAAAGCGTCTTCACCTCAAATTCAAGGGGATCACACCGAAAACTGCCAGTGCCTACCGCAAGGAAATCCACAAATTCTTCCAATTTCTTTCCTCTGAGGAGGAGGACCTGCCCACTGATGCATCGCATCTTGATGCCATTTTGGCTGAATATATCAACTCCCTTTATCAGCAGGGAGACAGTCTCACCCAAGCAGGATGGCTTTTGAGTGGCATGAAGAGATTTTTGCCTCGCCTTCGCTACCAGCTGCCGACAGCCCAGCAGTATTACCAAAACTGGCTGAGAGACCATGTTCCTTTGCGTGCCACTCCAATGCCGTGGCTGGTGGTAAAGGCTTTTGCGGCGGTAGCGTGGCAGAATCATCACTATGATTTGGCCCTCCTGCTTCTTTTGTCCTATGTTTTCTTTCTGCGAACTACAGAGTTCTTGACCTTGCCAGTTGAAAATATCGTGGTGGACAGCCGCTCAAATCAAATTGTGGTCACTTTGGAGAAGACCAAAACTTCCAAGCAATTTCAGCAATCATTGGTGCTGCGGCACAGGGGTCTGGCCAAAATTGTGGCAAAAGCCCTTACTCGGCTTCCTCTGAAGGGCCCAATCTGGCGGTTTCCACCACGGGTTTTTCGTGAAAGTTTCACCCTTTTGGTCAATCATTTTCACCTTCAGGAGCATGCTTTTTCTCTTTACAGCTTGCGCCGCGGTGGTGCTACCCACACCTATGCACGCTCCCGTGACCTTCACTATGTTGCCTTACAGGGCCGCTGGCGGGACCTCCGCACTGCCAGAATTTATTTGGATGATGCAAGAGCTACCTTGGTCAAACTGGCTTTTACCCCACCCATTTCCCACCACCTTCATCAAACGGCCTCCTTCTGGGCTTCTTTCAAATAGCTCCGCCAAGAGGCATCGACTGGGTGCGATTGGGATTGGGTTATGGGGTGCCAGGCTTTACCGCTGCGGCGGAGGCATCTTCTGCCTGCGGGCAAGTTAGGCCTGTCCGTGGACAAGGTAGGTCCTGTGCGGGAGTCTCCATGAGCGATGTCTCTGGGGCACCCAATCTTGACCAACAGCACGGCTGTGCATGGAAAATTGCAGGTCGTGCAGTTCTTGGGTGGATTGAATAAACCTAGTCTTTACAACGCGTCTAGTGTTGTGTGACGGTGATTTCTATCCACTGTTGCTCGTAGCCATCAGTGCTCCCTGCCCACCCTCCCCCGTGGGTTATGGGGTGCCAGGCTTTACCGCTGCGGCGGAGGCATCTTCTGCCTGCGGGCAAGTTAGGCCTGTCCGTGGACAAGGTAGGTCCTGTGCGGGAGTCTCCATGAGCGATGTCTCTGGGGCACCCAATCTTGACCAACAGCACGGCTGTGCATGGAAAATTGCAGGTCGTGCAGTTCTTGGGTGGATTGAATAAACCTAGTCTTTGCAACGCGTTTAGTGTTGTGTGACGGTGATTTCTATCCACTGTTGCTCGTAGCCATCAGTGCTCCCTGCCCACCCTCCCCCGTGGGTTATGGGGTGCCAGGCTTTACCGCTGCGGCGGAGGCATCTTCTGCCTGCGGGCAAGTTAGGCCTGTCCGTGGACAAGGTAGGTCCTGTGCGGGAGTCTCCATGAGCGATGTCTCTGGGGCACCCAATCTTGACCAACAGCACGGCTGTGCATGGAAAATTGCAGGTCGTGCAGTTCTTGGGTGGATTGAAATATATATGTCATATATGGATGTCATATATAGATGTCATATATAGATGCCATATATATATATATAATATATATATATATATATAGATGTCATATATATAGATGCCATATATAGATGTCATATATGGATGTCATATATAGATGTCATATATAGATATATATAATATATATATATATAGATGCCATATATAGATGTCATATATAGATGTCATATATAGATGCCATATATAGATGTCATATATAGATGTCATATATAGATGTTTTTTTATAGATGTCTTATATAGATGTCATATAGATGTCATATAGATGTCGTATAAATGTCATATAGATGTCATATAGATGTCATACAGATGTCATACGGATGGTATACATATGTCATCTAGATGTCATCTAGATGTCATATAGATGTCATATAGATGTCATATAGATGTCATATAGATGTCATATAGATGTCATATAGATGTCATAGAATATATATATATATATAGATGTCATATAGATGTCATATAGATGTCATAGAATATATATATAGATGTCATATAGATGTCATATAGATGTCATATAGATGTCATATAGATGTCCATGTTATCTTCATAATTGATCTTCATTTCGAAGGGTAGCACCGCGCCATGAATGGAGGACCCCTCCTCCGTGCGGACGGATCCCAACAAGTCGGCCTACGAGGCTTTTCAGTTGGTAGATCTCTGGAATCCCTATAGATCTTCATTTTGTTTAGATAATTACTGTATATTTGAAGTTGGAAGATGTCTATACCCGATAGATCTCGATGATTGCTGTAATTTGATGACTAATAATATATATATATATATATATATGTATGTTGGAAACCATGGTCGTCTGTTCTCAACGAAGCCTTGAATGAAGCTATGGACCAGGATTCCAGATGGCTGAAAGATTCAGGTAGATGCACCAGCAAGTTGCAGGGACCGACAGAGAGACACAGAGGGACCTACATCTTTTCAAAACGGGGCTCTAAATCACAATGAATGACGGAGAAATGATGCCACACATGGACAATGACAGTGGCTACTATAGGTTCTGAATATGCTCCATGTATGGAATATTTGCCTTCCGGTCTGGTAAATGTGGGTATAAAAAAAAATTCCATACATGGAGCCTGGAGCATATGGGCAACCGCGAGGCCCACAGTGATGATGGAGTCGAGGCTGAAGGGGTTGAAGGCACGCCTTGGCGATGTGGGTTCGACCCAGCAGTTGATCATTTTCCTAGGCAAACCATGGCGTTTTTCCAAGGGTTTTCAACATCTACCCTCTGGTTATTTAACATAGCCATGGAAAATCACCATTTTTAATAGGTAAACCATCTATAAATGGGCCATTTTCCATGGCTATGTTAAATAACCAGAGGGTATTTCACATGTCAGTTGCTATACCCCGGAAACTATGACCTGAATATGGAGGTTTGTGGGGAGATGAACATCTGCCAGCTAGTGGCGACGTGATTGACAAATTGACGGACCTCACTGTAAAACCCAAATTTAAAGACGGTTCCGATGGTTCCGGTTCGTTTCCGATTTTGTTGGCGGTGAATTCGCCTGGAACGATGGGCCCAGCCACAACTGGCATACTTCTTCCCACTGAATTGAATACACTCAGGCCGTCCAAATCCGTCCAAATTTGTATGCTGGAGATTCACATAAATTTATGTTGGCCAATTGTTCCCAGATGTTTTTGCAATGTTCTTGTTCTTGTGAACCCCTGTGAAACATATGCCAGACTTGGTCCCTCCTGCCCAAAATAAAGGTGACGCCCCTTCTCGCAGCGGTTCACGCAAAGTAGTGCAGCGCAAAGCGTCCTCGGAGGTGCGCCTAAGGGCCGCAAAAATCCAGCAAACATCATTTGTTTTGATCGGAATACATGGAAAAATGACCATAAGTGGCAGTTCGATAGTTAGTGAATCCATGCTTGCTGAATTTTGATGAATTTTGTGGAAACAATTTTTGCTGGTGATCTAAATCCTCATCAATGATTGTTCTCATTCTCGAGGCTGTGGCCGATGCAGCTGCTGCGGGGAGTGCTGCTGCAGATGCCGAAGCCCAAGCAGGGCGGGCAAAAAAAGCAGCAAGAATGGGATGCAACGAGATGCAAAACGGGGGATCTAACGAGCAATATATATGTAATAATAATAATAGTAAGAATAATATATATATATATTATATAATATATATGATTATATTATGTCATTATGTCATGTTACAACCAATTTAACCCAGTGATAAACCAGGAACAATTATCAGCCATTACAAGGGGACTATGATAAATCATTCCCAAGAACCCTTTTGTGCAGCCACTAGTTACAACAGATAGTGAAGGCAAAAAAAGGGTCCTGCCCCAGGTTTTTTTTGTGATCACTGCGACTTTTTTCGGAGCCACTTAAGGTGACCCCTGCAGTAAGAGTGCCTGCTTGATGGGTGTCAGAGTCACAACAGCAGGAGTCAAAATTAGATATGTATGTTTATATGTATATAATATTATATGATATTTATTTAATATTTTATAATTATATATATATATATGTGTGTGTTTGTGTGTGGTCTTTATATATATATATAAATAAATATATGCATGTCATACCCAACTGGATGATTTAAAAGTGCCCAAACTCTGTGATCCCCATCCGGCCAGGTCGCGCCTACGATCGTCCTGACTGAAACACCTGGCATGAAAGGCGGGACATGGCCGGACCTGCACGGCTTAAGAACGTGTTCTTTGATTATAGATTTCCTAATGGGATAATGGGATTATACATGGGATGAATCATGGATTATAGATTTCCTACTTAAGTTATGGCTAATATAACTGGTTATAATGGTTATAAATGGGATTATATTAATGTTTATAAATGGGGTTATGTCAGCACTTATAAGTGGTATTTCGGGCCATCTCTAGCAACATGCTCGGAAGTGGCGAGAGGAGCCAGGGACCGTTCAGGCCTGAAACTGGGTTCCGCAAACGCTCCCAAGATGGACTTGCTTCAGATCCCTGCGCCTTGGTTGGAGATATACCCTCTGGTAAACATACAAAAGGCTATGGAAAATCACTATTGTAATAGTTAAATCATCCAAAAATTGTCAATTTTCCATAGCAAACTATTAGTTTAATGGAGGGTAAACCGGTAAACCCCAAAATCATTTGATCCAAAACTACGCCAAGTTTTATCCAAGTACACTGTAACTTGTTGTAACATGTGATAGCCACATGTAGCCACTGTTTGACTGTCTCACATTTGGCTCTGTTTGGGCCACGGAGGCCGTTTTTTGTTTTGGGGGGGACAGTAAAGGACATGTTGGGTATTTGTTGTGGTGGTAATGACTCTTATTGATGACGATGGTGATGATGTACATGCATGAGCAAGTGTGTGTTCGTGTGTTATTTGACGGAAATCGTTTGCAGCTGCCGAAATCAAACATTGTTTCCTCACTGCAGGTTCACCAAATTGGGACAGGGGGCAGGTACAACGGAATGACACATCATTACTCCAGCACAAATACAGGGATAATTCTGCTGCGTGATCTTCAAGGTTGAAATTCTGAGGTTCTTGTGGTTGTGTGGGTCTCGGAGGTTACATCTTAGAATTTTGTGATTCAATACTTTTTGATGCAAAACTGGGTGCCTCCCATTGATGCTGTATGATGCTATGTTATATACTCAGTGGGGTAAATCTCAACGAGTAAGTTGCTAATGACGGTGGCAACCCACAGGGCTCACCATCTTGTGGCCTTGGTTTGACCAAATGCGGCCTCATTTCCTCTGCAGGCAATAGGTAAACTCCTAAATTGTGACTCCATCAGCATAGAACTGGATGATGGGAAAATTTACAGGAAAGCCCTATATTTGATGGTAAAAACCATGGTTTCCTGTAAATTTTCCCTTAAACCAATCCAGTGACATCAGCATGTTGGGTATCTCATGAACTGGTGCAGCCCAACCTTTTCAGGGCCGGTGATTTGGCCCATGCTGCCAAGGCCTCTTCTCCCCCGTTGCTTGGCTTTTCGTTTTTGCGCGTGTGACAAGAAGTGGTGAAACTGCGGAGCTTTGAAACCTTGGTTTTGCCAAACTGCCTTGACTCGTTGAAAAAAGCCATGAAACATATCCTTAAATTGGATGGAGCCATTCCAAATACCTAAGTTGATTGGTTATTGGGAATTAGACTACTATAGTACCTGGGTTGTTGGGGATTATCATAACCCATGGTGGGAATGACCCAAAGTGAATGGAACTTGGCGAACTTGGTTCCAAAATATTCCAACTTCAGGTGATTTTCCTGCAGAGACCATTTCTGAAAATACACTTGACTTTGCCCAAGCAGAATACTTGAGTGATTGCTGATGTTTGTTGATGCTGTTGCTGGTGCTGTTGCTGTTGCTGGTGCTGTTGCTGTTGTTGTTGTTGTTGTTGTTGTTCCCGGGGTACCTGATACCTGGAAGATCCAAGTGGTTGCAGCTCCCAGGAAATTACAGGCATTGAAACTGGGAGCTCCCAACAGGCGAGGGACGGGGGATGTGGCCATGGGGATTGTGGATCCAAAAAGCCTCGCATGATGATGATGGTAGTGGTTTATTAATGGTTATTAATGGTTATTATTGATGATGATGATGATGATGATGAGGATGAGGATGAGGATGAGGATGGTGATGATGATGGTGATGATGATGATGATGATGATGATAATGATGATGATGACGGTGATGATGATGATGATGATGATGAGGATGAGGATGATGATGATGATTATGATGATGATGATGATGATGACGATGATGATGATGATGATGACGATGATGATGATGATGATGAGGATGAGGATGAGGATGATGATGATGATGATGATGATGATGAGGATGAGGATGAGTTTTAGGAATAGGAGTAGCAGGA